TTGAGCTGTTTCCAACTCTTGGCCACCGTGAATAATGCTACAATAAACATCAGGGTGTATATATTTTTGCATATAAATGATTTCGAGTTTTGGGGGTATATACCCAGGAGTGGGATTGCTGGGTCACATGTAGCTCTATTTTTAATTTTTTGAGGAATGGCCAGACTGCTTTCCATAGTGGTTGTACCAGTCTACATTCCCGCCAGCAGTGAATGAGCTCTCCAATACTTGCTATTGCTTGTCTTGTTGATAATGGCCACTCTAACAGGGGTGAGGTGGTATCTCCTTGTAGTTTTGATTTGCATTTCCCTAATTGCTAGTGAAGTTGAACACCTTTTCATATATCTATTGGCTATTCATCTGTCTAATTGGGAGAGGTGTATTTTCAGGTCCTCTGCCAATTTTTGGTTGGATTATTTGTTTGGTGTTGAGTTTTATGAGTTCTTTATATATTTTGGAAATAAACCTTTGTCGGAGCTACTGTTTGCAAATATCATCTTCTATCTGGTTGGCTGCCTCTTTGGTTTGTTGTCAGTTTCTTTTTCTGTGCAGAAGCTTTTTAGTTTTATATAGTCCCACTTATTCATTTTTGCCTTTACTTCCCTTGCCTTTGGGGTGAAGTTCATAAAATGTTCTCTAGGACCAAGGTCCATAACTTTGTTACCTCTCTTTTATTCTATGTAATTGACTGTTTCAGATCTAATGTTTAGGTCTTTGATGCATTTTGAATTAAGTTTTGTACATGGGGACAAACTATAATCCAGTTTCATTTGTTTGCATGTGGCTTTCTAGTTTTCTCTGCAGCATTTATTGAAGAGATTATCTTTATTCCATTGTGTGTTTCTGGTTCCTTTATTGAAAATTATCAAATGCTTGAGCCAAACTTAGAAAAATTATGAATTAGATAAATTAAAGAACCTCCATATTTTTTCTTTCATTGCTTATGCAACTCAAAATATTTTCAAATAGTTCAAGTGAGTTTAGGGTATAGATATGTCTAAACTGCAAAAGATCTATTTTTTTAAGAAGGACACAAACAGATTATCAAGGGACCATTTCTTGATTTTGTTCCTCGGAAAGATGGTCCAATTGCTGGAATTATATTAATATGGGAACTCTATTAATTTGAGTGATCTGGAGCTTTCTAAGTGTCATAGATAGGTCTATGGTAGACTAAATACAACAGAAGCATAGAAGCAGGCTTAAGAGAATGACAGCACATACTACCTAGTCCAGAATCTCAATTTCTTCAGCAACAACACAGTTAGTGAGTGAAAGAAGTATCTAATTATTTTTTACAGTGTTTGAAATACATGTTTTACCTATGGCTTCAATCTTGAGATTTGCTTCAAATACCATTCCAAGCAAATGAGATACTATATTAAAGAAATTTAATTCTGAACACATTGATAATCCCTTTATATAATACACTAGAGGGCCAATGCACAAAATTCATGCAAGAGTAGGCCTTCCTTCCCCCAGCTGCCAGCACTGGCTTCCCTCTGGCCACTGGCAGGCACCCGGGACCCGGGTTTCTCTCACAGCCCCAGTTTCATCCAGCGGTCATCCAGAAGGATGCCTGGTCTAATTAGCATATTATGCTTTTACTAGTAGCCCCGTGCACAAAAATTTGTGCACTGGCAAGGGTGGGGGGGCCCTCAGCCCAACCTGTGCCCGCTCACAGTCTGGGACCCCTCGGGAGATAACCACCTGCTGGCTTAGGCCTGCTCCCCTGGTGGCAGATGGCACGCCCAATCCTGCCATGTCTGCCCCGTCTCCCCCGGTTGCAGATGGCAGGCCCCGAACCCATGCTGGGGCAGGCAGCGGCTTGCATTTTAAGACTTAGCTATTTTAAATCCAAAAGTTGCTCTTGTGGAAGAGATATAAATGGCTATCACATTATAAAGCCT